TGCCACCTGCCCCCAACCCGCCTTTTTTCATTTTTTCTTTTCTTTTTGTGTTTCTCGCTTCGTTGCTTATTTCCTTTGCATTCTGAATTTCCTTATTTCTCTGCCAACGTGCCCCCAAATTCTTGAAGCAATTCCCTTGAGCGGGCCACCTAAGTGGATAGTGAGAGCATATATTAACCAATTCCTTCTCCATTAAAGACATGCTCTTCCGAACACATCTGGTATTGCTTACCTTTGACATCTCGTCATTTAAAAGTACGCCGCCTGCTTCTCTCTCCCCCCATTTTGTAACCGCTTTCTTGTTATCAGTCCCATTCATAGGTGTTCGAGAACAGGCGTAAGCCGATATCGTCGGCAACCCTTTGTGGTGGCCGGACGCGGGGACCATCTGCGGGCTTCGAACTTTCAAGCTCTTTGCTGCTGTCGTGTCTGTAGCGGCCACCACTCCTACTTTGCATGCTTCCTCTTTTTTTTTCTTTCCTTTTTTTTCTCCACCCTCTGAGGACATTGTGAATCGCTACCAGCGAACTTGAAATGAAGCGAGGACTGCAATCCTTTGCTCTCTAGTTTGTTTTTTTTTCTTTTCAGACGGCAATTGCCAACAGGGACACGTGCCACCACCAGGATATGACGTCTCGACTAACCCACTCAAAAATAACAAGCTAAGGATGAGAAGGCAAGGCACCTTTGACGAACATAGCTCCTCCTATCGAAACGTCAGCCAGCCTATCTGAAGAATTTGAACTGTTCACCCTGAGTATCCCACTCTTCTCATCGGTTTTTTTCCGATACCAAGGCAGTTTTCAAGGCATTCGAAACACTATGGGCTGCTTAGATAAGCTGTGTACACACAAATAAGCCATCTGATGTACGATATACAAAGTATATCAAAGTGACTTGTTGGGCTTTACAGGCTCTTACAGAATATAAAAGGAACATTCATAACTTCATAACTAACTCATAATACATGCAACAATTATTATATATAGCAAAAAATTAGGAATGTGATAAACACCAGCACACACTACGCAGACCTGCTCAGAAATGCGTCTTGATAAAATACTTAAATACTGCAGTAAATTAGGAATGCAAAAACACAACACCAGTGCACTAGTACAGATGCCCGGTTGGTACCAAACTGCTGTACTTAACATGCATCATGAAAGCAAGACCACAGCCCACAGCTAATATACCCTTCACGTAACCCTTGACTGCTGAAATGAAACCGTGGCTGTGGTGGCGGCAATTTCGATTAAGGAGGAAATGCTTGACACCTGTCTGCTTAGACGTGGATGCATTTTCAGGAACCACAGGTTGTCAAAATTTCTGAAGCCCTCCACTCCAGTGTCCCTGATAATTGTATCATGGCTTTAATATGTCAACCTCTGTAAATATTATTCTCATTGCACTTGACATGAAATAAAACAAGCAGATATTACTATGTAGTTAAAAAATTCACCATTCAACCCCCCCCCCTATCCATAGACTCACTTTACAATATTCTAGTATGCCTTCTATCAATTATCAATAACAATGTTAAACGTGAGTATGTACCACTGTAAAATATAGCACATGGTTAGGTATTAGCATAGTTAGGCATGATGAAGTGCGACAGTAAAAAATCACTTGATTGCCTTAATGAAATCAACTTCCCAAAAGCAATAAAATAACTAAGGTAACAAAAACATTAATATAGAATGTTCAGTGAAGGTTACAGTGAAGATAAAATCATTATTGTGCTACTTTTTATCACAACACAAAAAGTGTTTTTAAATGACCCATTGCACATAAGGCATCAATTAAAACATGACATGGGAGTGGCGGGCACCTCACCTAGTAGATCTTGAAAAACGATATATGCAATAAAGATCTTAGTATGTAGCACTGACACATTCATAAATGCGCTGCCTAGTTACATTGAATTTTAGCCTTAAGAACAGAAAAACACCTTGGCAGATTGTGTCCAGGGGTAAACAAAGTAATAAAATAATGCTGTCACCTGCCCAACCAACCAAAAATATTGAAATTTTAGTAACGCAAATAAGCAGGTATGTTTGCATTAAAAATTTCTAGACAGTTGTGTTTCTACACAGTCCCACTTGGAAAACTTTTTTGATTGTGTTTATGCTCCTAGATATCCCGTTTGAAAGTTTAATTTTGCTTTTCATGATTACGCATGCAAGGCAGTGAGGTTCAGCAAAATATCACTCTATACCGGAACGAGCAGTCGGTTCTTGCTGATTGATTTGTGGGGTTTAACGTCCCAAAACCACTATTTGATTATGAGAGACGCCGTAGTAGAGGGCTCCGGAAATTTTGACGACCTGGGGTTCTTTACGTGCACCCAAATCTGAGTACACGGGCCAACAACTTTTCCGCCTCCATCGGAAATGCAGCCGCCACAGCCGGGATTTGATCCCGCGACCTGCGGGTCAGCAGCCGAGTACCTTAGCCACTAGACCACCGTGACGGGGCAGTCGTTTCTTGCTATCGCCAGCGAATAGCAAGAGTAACCATTTCAATGTTTGCCCATTCCTTCCACCCACGGTCAGATTAAATGCATGAAATCAGAAAGTCTGTGCTAGTGCTCACTGTCCTGCAACTAAATTTCCAAGCCGCAACTGAATTTCCAGCAGGAAATCTGAGCACAGGCATGCTGAAATTCTTACAAGTGATATTATGTAAAATTGTGACTGGCTCAAATATTTAACACATACATGATCACCTGATATGGCCACTGTTAAGTTCATTATTAAAACTTGATGGCACTGCTGACAGTGATAATGACTGTCTCACATTACGTCCTCCTGAATACATAGCTATGAGCAGAGGTGGCTTTTACATACATAACTTGCAGCGCTGAATTCTTTTTTTAAGGAAAAAAAAGGGGTAATTTTGAACACCCTGAACCTTTGTGCTCCTTGAATACAGCTCCCAGGTGGCTCTGTGCAGCTCGCTTTCCACAGGAAACAGAAGCCATGCGCAGCAGCTGTGCACCAGCAGTCAAGTTTTCCACGAGCCAGCATTGATGATCGGCTAGTCCAAACGCCTTCCACACTCTCTTCCTATGATGAGCATGTATAGGCTGAGAGGGAAACAAAAAAAACAATTTACTGACGTGTCTGTTAGCGAAGCGAAATTGGGAACTCTCTTTAGAATGATCAGGAACATTGTGCTTTAAAAGAGCAGGATGTATGTTACAACAAAAGCATGCTCAATGTTTTTGGCGAACATATCTGAAACCTTACAAAACAATATGCACTTCCACATAACAGATGTGTCACAAAATATACTTGAATAGTGCTCTGGCATAGTGCATACAGATGCCAATTCTGTAATAGGACAGCACATACATGACGGTATGCAATTTCATCAAGTATCCACTGAAGGTAGCATTTAAATTAAATTACGTGTTTTATTTTGAACACAACTAATGTGACTTTCTTCCGGCTGCCTACATTAGGACGGTTATACCTATAGCATCAAAAATTGGTTTCGCTAAATTACTATTGTCCACAGCTAAATTATTGTATTGATTCAATGCTTCCAGGTGACTAAAAAGGCAGTGTCCCTCACTAATTCCTCACATACCCCTCATCACAGGCTGTCTAATGAATAACGGAAACAAATGTGGAAATGCTAAAACAGACAAAGCACCCATCTTGAACTACATACCATCCCAATAAAGCATGCAAGCCTCTGCAACAATCTCGAGTAACAAGAATACTGGAAGGCATTGGTCACGATTTAGCAATACACAATGAACATTTGATGAGACTGATTTCCGAAGTTGCATAATTGCTTCAATGCCAACAACTTGGAAACATGCAGTCTTTATTCATGATTGTCAGATCAATATATTATCCAATTTTCCGTTTTCACAATAACAAGTGTGTGCCTTATGAATGCATACTATGATGCATGACGTTACTGTGAGTTTTGAGCGAGAAATAATATATTCATTTCTGTAAACACCGCAGATCCCTTCTGCAACTGTAGTGCATGCCTAGTGAATTTACTTAAGCTCGTCATCTGATGTGAAGATAATTGAAATAACACGCTGACCACGATTGAAAGCCAATAAAAGCATGACGTTTTGGTCGCCACACAGGAACCTTATTCATAAGTGACAAATATTGTGCTTTTCTTCGTGGCCAGTATGTGGTTTTTCAATGTTTTCATGTGTGTTTCCGACCAGACGGGTGTAAACTTGCCATCTATTATTAAATGCCAATGAAAGTGGTGGTCTAAACTGTTATTATTGTTGGTACAAGTAAAAGTGCTTAGAAAAGTTTGAACACCAAGTTTGGGCGAGGCGCATACAATATTTAATGAACCACAACAAAATAATGAAATTTGAGCATAGTGAAAACAAGCTGGATAAAATAAAATGTGCTCTACCACATGAACTACTGATCGAATTAGGACTCGCACAGTTAGGCTACAGCGATTCGGCCACAATGGGCCATGCAAATTTTGTTCGAAAATACAGTTCAAGTTTAACAAACGGCTCAAGATTCATGGGTTCCGGGCGCATCAGGCAACCTATGTTGCGGGTGTATAACGTAAGCTCAGGTTCGACTAAACGGGCTGCATAAACACCTAAGCGTAGGTGAAAGCCTTGCGAGGCGTACGTAAGACGAGGCAACATGCTGCACGCGAACTCGAGTAACACGGTAGTTCAAAGACGCGTGCCGGCGCGGATGCATACACCGGCATAGGTTCGGCTACCCGCAGTAATTTCTGATAGCAGTTTAAAAAAAGGACGTACAACATATGAAACTGTCCTAGACACGTTACTCCTATAGCACACAATATAAACAGGCATGCCAAAAAATAATAAAAAATCTCCGAATTAACAGATCCAAGCATACGCACCCAAGGCGTGATCCACGCTTACAGTTAACAAACGCCGTATTCGCCCAACAATTGTTTAACAAAAATATTGGACCAGCAGGGCTCCCTACCAACACCACGACCTCCTCTATAAACTTACGACCTGCTCATGCCGCCGCTCCCCGTGTCGCCGGTTTTGCTTTTGCTTGTTTAGTTTTTTTTAGTTCTCGAAAGTGCCGCAGCACGCCTTGGCGCCACAACTAACCCCCACTGCTGCAGCCGCCAAGCCGCTGTTCTGCTTGGTGCGTGCGTGCGTTCGCATGATCTTGTGGCACTCGAAGGCTATCGCCGCTATCGCTTGTCACCAGTAGTCTGCGCAGTCAGGAGCGTTAGATAACGACAGCAGCAGCACCATTCCCGCAATGGTGTACTGCTGCGTTCCTTTTTGCAAGTCGAGCGATCGGCGGTCAACTGGGATATCGTTTCACGAGTTCCCCGTCACCCAGATTCGGCAGGAGTGGTTGAAGAAGATCTCTCGACAGGCTGAAGGTAAGGCACTGAAAGTGCTGTATTGCATGCACTGCAAGATCTGACTAGTGGAATGCAGTTCAAAACTTTTTTGCGCGCTATGTATGCTGCTCAGCGTTGTTGGCTGGCGTCTAGAAACACAAGTGCTGTTTGTGGGATTCGTGGACGCCGATCGGGTACACAGCCCATCAGGCCCTCAGCCAAGAAAAGGGGGGGGGGGGGGGGCACGTAATTCTGTTGAACTATGTGTTTTTACCAAAAAGAAATAATAAAAGTAGGCGTTTTTCTCAAACAGTCAAGGTTTTCAGCAAGTGCCCCCCGCCACGAAAAAATTTCCTGGCTAAGGGGCTGCAGCCCATGCTACATTTTTCCTTTGTTGTACTGTCCTTTGTTGCCGAAGACTCCGTGCACGTGGCCGTGTCAGGGATAGAGCACTTACTTTCAACTATTCCGCTCTGATGCACAGCGGTGTTGCTTTGTTGAGAAATTTGTTTTATTTATTACACTATTGTTTTGCGCTGGCGTTGTTTTATAACAAAATTAAGGGAAATAGGCGCAAATGGATCTGCCCTGAACTGATGCAGCTGCTAGTAAATTGAAATGGTAAGGGATTCAACTAGTGAATACACTAGAGACCCTTTTCTGTCACGTTGTGAAGGTTACTAAAAGGCTAATTCTTAATCGATTGCCTACTATCTGATAATTCTGGTGCGGTCTTAAATACAATATTTGTAGGACCAGGAAAACAGCCATGGGAGCCGAGCGACCGCAGCAAGGTATGCAGCTTGCATTTCAAGCCAGAAGATTACAGAGAAGGCCTGAAGCTGCGCAAACAAAAACCAGATGCCATACCTTCAATATTCCCGCGCTACCCAGGGTATATGCAGGAAACATCCCGTAAAGAGCGACAGCCTGTGAAAAGGTGTGCTGTGCCAGGGCTGTCACCAGACAAGCCTCATGCAGAAGCAAAGAAAAATAGGTAAGCTTTTTTTGTGTAATTAGTGTTTGTTTAGCCACGCCCAAATTTCTTCTAATACATGCTTCATCCTGTAACACGTCGAGATTGACCATTTGCGGAAAAGCTTCTGCGCATGCGCGGTAACGGCGCAGCTGGCGCCCTCTATGGGCGCTTTGGTTTTGGTTGGAAAACACGAGCCGGGCCGGCCGTCACTTGTGGATCTCTGTGCCGTCACTGAAATAAGTCGCCTCGCTTTAGCAGCGTACAGAAATGCCAGCGAACTGTGTGGCCTACGGCTGCACGAATTATTTTACTCAGAAAGGAAGCACGCATTTCTACAGGTTCCCGTCCGCGAGGCTACGTGCCGAAAAGAGAGATGCTTGGGTAGCTGCTGTGAGGAGACAGAATGCCGACGGTTCACCGTGGGCGCCCAACAAACATTCTCGGATCTGCAGCGCGCATTTCATAACAGGTACGATAATTTTAAGTGCTTATAACTTGGTTTGTGCAATCAGAAATCACGTTTACTGCAGGACGGCCGTCAAAGTTCAAGAACCATCCTGACTTCGTCCCCAGTGTGTTCACCTACGTGAGAAGTCGCGGTGATGCTGCTGTGCGTCGCCATAGCCGATGGTGGAAGCGACAGAAAGGTAAGCGCTACAATCTCAGTTTATATTTACTGGGACAAAAACTGCTAATGCAGAATAGAGGAGCAGATGTTCGTGAAGGCAACCACACATCTGTCTGAGCGCGTGAACGGTCAGTTCTGTCGTGCATTTACGAAGGTCGCTCTTGCTTTCCGGACTCACTCCAGCTTTTAAAGATGTACGGTTTAAAGCACAGTCAGTGGAAATGTGAATGTATAATAAATACTTGTTTCGAGCCAGGTACCACTCTAGTGAGCCGTTCGAGCACTCTAGGCTATCGTCTGGACGGCTGTACTGCATCGCTCCCGTCTGGTATTTTGTGACTGCTTTCATCATAGGCGAGGCCAGACGAGAAACCAACCACTTTCGAGGCGATTTGCAGTGGATAGTGTAGTGTGACAGGCAGTGCTTGCGAGGTTTCTCGTGCCTGCGGCACCGTGAGAGCACTTGTATAGATTTATTGCCCACTCGATCATTTTTGCCGCTGCTTCCCGCATTTACAGCGTGTTTTTAGGTTGTGAAGTCGTATTGTGAATGCCGCATGCAATGCCTTTGTCACCAGTAGGGTAGCCAGACATATTTCGGTGGTGGGATTCAACCATACTTTATGCTCGTGTGTGCGTTGGTATGTGTGCGTGTAATATATACACATGCAAAGCTGAAAATTTTCGGGGGTTTGAACCCCTCAAACAACTCTTCCGCTCAGCCATGTCCCTGATTGTCACTATTTCTTAGACACCCAATATGTGGCTGTTATGCACATCTCACCCTAGGTGCTTATTGTCAGCAAATGACCTGTGCATAACCACGATACCATTCTTTCAGGGGAGCTTGATACGACAGCCACTTCTGCTACTCCTAATGACACGCCAGAGTTGCAGGATCCTCCCAATGGTGAGCTTGCTTGCACTTTGCAAACTTAAGTGCTGTTTTGAGCTTCTTCCCGTGGCATCATGTGATTGCTCAGATTTCAGCTGGCTTGATTCTGCAGACACATTCATATAGGGGATAATGGTCAGCTGATGTGTTGCTTTCAGAGAATCTCTACATGGACACTAGTGCTGCACAGGATGGTGTACTAGATGAGAATTCGGTGGACCTGCAACAACTGGAAAATGGTAAGTTTGTGTGCACTTTGCAGAGTTGAATGTTTTTTCAGCATTTCCCCATACCACGATGTGAATTCTGCCGCTGCTTGTTGCATCTGGCCCATTTCTGCAGTAACACACTCATACAAAGCAATTAGATGTCATGCTGTTGCATTGCTTGCAGAGAATCCTGACGAAGGCTTGGATGCTACAAAGGATGATGTACCTGATCAGGACTCGATGGAGCTGCAGCAACCCGAAAATGGTGAGTTTGTATGCACTTTGCAGAGTGCAATGCTCCTTTCGGCTTTTTCCCGTACCATGATGCCAATGCTGCAACTGCTTTTTGCATTTGCAGATAGAAACTCCTCAGCTATAGGCTTATTGTAGAGCTTGTTTCTAGTCCGTATGTCCATATGTGTAACATTTACTTGCAGAGGGCGCTCTAAGGTGCTTGACGAGCGCTTTTTCTGTGCCACTTGCAGGTATAAAGGAGCACATCTGGTCAGATTGCCGCTGTCAAGCCTGTGCTTCTAAGAAGATTGAAGTCCTGGTGCAAGAAATAGGAAATTCGCAGAAGTTTATCCTCCAGTTGCAGAAACAAAATGCAAAGCTAGAGGTGCAGCTAGATGCAGCCATGTCAAGATGTCTCACCCTGACTACTCTAGCCACTCCAAAGGACTGAATGTACTACACTGGATTGCCGAATGTTGAAGTGTTCAATATTTTGCTTGAATACTTTGCACCACGCGCTAGAGAAATGTTGTACTGGGGCTCAGATAAAAACGGCATAATGACCCTCGTGGCAACAAAAAAAAAATGGCAACCTGGCCAAAGAATTTTTCATGGTGTTAGTTCGGCTCAGGACAGGTATGCAAGGGCAAGAACTGGCCAGGAATTTCCTGATGTCAGAAAGTCTAGTTAGCCGCACTTTTTTCACATGGATTAACTTTTTACAACGAGAGCTTCGGCACTTGACACCCTTACCTACTTTAGATGACATAAGATCCCACCTACCGAAGTGCATCTCTGATTTTCCCGACACCCGTCTTGTTCTCGATGCCACAGAGGTGAGAATACAGAGGCCTTCGTCATTGAGCGCACAGCGCCATACCTTCTCACCATACAAGCATTACAACACGTACAAGGCGCTTATTGGATGTACACCAGATGGATACATCACTTATGTGTCTCGCCTCTGGGGAGGCTCTAGCTCGGATAAAGCAATCTTGGAAAGTAGTGGTCTTCTTGACAAGCTGGAGCCAGGAGATGCAATAATGGTTGATAAAGGTTTTACATTTCCTTACTTGGCAGCAGGTATAACAGTTTATCGGCCTCCATTTCGAGAGCCTCACCAAAAGCAGATGCCTGCAAATAAAGTTGACGAAACCAGGCGCATCGCTCCTGCAAGGTTGCACGTTGAAAGAGCCATTGCAAGAGCTAAAAGCTTTCATATCTTGGATAGGCCCTTTCCTATCGCCATGATAGACATAGCTGAGCAGGTTTTTGAAGTTTGTTGCCTCTTGAGCAACTACAGGCTGCCTTTGATTCGAGAGGTAGATTAGGATTTGCAAGAGCACGAGCATAGTTTTCAAAAGGAAGCCAAGTTTGAAATTGGCCTGAGCTGGCTAGAGTTAGGAAATGATTTGGTGGCTGCAGCCAAGGCAGTAACAGAAGTCAGCTGTTTTTGGAATGATGTGCCATTTTGAATGTTTTACCAAACTTGCTGTAACCAATAAATGTAACTATGAAACGTTTTTCAATCAATCTTGTTATATCACAGTAGCTATATTCACCTTTGTGCTGAATAGACCCACGCTACTGAAGCCCCATATAGTTGGAATTTATCTCCCGCTTTCCCCGACAGCTTTCAGAAGCCACGTCAAGCCCCATTTGCCTTACTCTAAGTCGCAAATAACGAAACAGGTTGTTTGCCTGTGTTACACTGTCCCATCTTACATAAGTCACAATAAGCCTTTGTTACTTAGTTACTTTCAGACTATAAGAGCCATGCATTGGTTTCACAAGTATAGCTGAACAGTCTACACATGATTATGCCACGATTTCCATGAAATTCACAGAGTTTTGCAGTGCACTCCTTGAGAAGTTAACTGAAAAAAAAAGCGCGAGACTGTTTCTCCCCAGAAGAGAGCGATTATAAATAAAGTGAGGCGTCCTACTTCAATTTTTTTATTTTGATGCTTAGGCCATCTAGACGCGTGAAGACATAAAATCCAGCCTTGAATTTTTTGAAAGACACGAATGTTTCAGACGTGTAAAGCCGCCCAAGCCTTTTGACACGCCGTGTCAAGATTTCGGGTACAAGTGCATGCTTAGTGAAGTGCAAGAGTCCTGGCAGTACTTCCTGAGCTCAGAATTTTTCGCAGAACTCTATCCTTTCAACATGGAGATGTGGGGGGTCTCCTGGTGCGTTTCCCTCAGTCCATATGACAAAATCGCACCAGTTATAGCCCGTTACTGCCATCTGGCCTTGCACCTGATAGAAATAGGCGTGGTCCCGCTTCAGCTCCGCACCTTTTTCGGTGAGTCTGCAGCAGAAGTTTCTGTCACTGCAGGCGTCCTCACACGTCATCCCTTTTTTTGAAAAAGGGCATTTCACTTCTAGTAGGCCTTCTTTTCCATCTACAACAACAATTATGTCTGGTGAAGCAGCTAAGAAGGGGTACTGGCAGTGGACGCGAAGTCCAGTTTCCTGGACTGCCACGCTCGAGTCTCTGGCCTGCAACAGTTTCACATAAGCAGCTACGGCATCTGCTTCGTGCTGTCTGCCATATACGATTGCTTCGGAAGTGGCTCTGTCCCAAGGGTACAGTAGTGCCTTTAGCAAACTGTCCGGTTTTGTACACCGGCAGATCCTTTTAAACATCGATGCTGTTAGCCGTCCAACCCGTTCTGCATGCCACTTCTTGTTAGATGCTTGGCCGACTGTTTGATTGCATATCAGATCCCTCTCTGTCTGGCTTAGTGGCTTCATTGTTTTCATGTACGATTGTACCTCAGTTGCTGCAGCCTCGCTCTAGAGGTCATCGCTGTCCTCTATGGGCTTCTTTATGTTGCATGGTGGCTTTGGCTTGGCTTTATCGTGGCACATGTATCACAGAGCATGCAGATCGGGACAGGCGGTTGCCAGCTTATCCCTCAGTGACTGAATGGCATGTGGACTAAAAAGTGGGCCATCAGCACAGGGGTCATAATCGCGCTTCCGTTTCCCATGTGTAGGCTTGTTTATGAAATACTTTTGGAATCTGATTTCACCCAGAGGCTTTCTTGCCACTGGTTTCTTTGCTGCAAGTAAACAGAAAATAGGGTACTTCAGTTATGCTGCTAAAGAGAGCACACATGTGAGTGATAAGTACATTTGTGTTGAGAAAGGGAGCATATGCACGTGCACAAGCATGGCTGTTCAACACATGAGGAAGTGTGTTTGTTCGTGTACTGTGCTTTGTGGTGTGCAAATGATGTAACACTGTTTATTAATAAACTGGCATGACTGAGCAAGCAGTCATGAAAATGCAACGCTGCGAGCCTGTTTCTCTGTGTATATTTTGTGAATGACACATAATGGTATGTGAACGCAACGTCATGTTCACAATAGCGGTAATTTACTGGTTTGAACATCCACTGCTTACACGAATCCTGGAGTGCAAGTTGCGTCTCCGACCATTTATTATGCTTGGATTCCCGGCTGTTAAAAGGTTTCTGAAAGCGGTCTCCATTATAGTATGAAATACACGGGACGGGTAGTACCAGGACAAGCGCTGTCCTGCGTTTACATTGCGCTATGTATTCTCTGCAACCATGATTAACTAACATGCTAAAGCCTACTACCCTTCGAACTCGTATTTGACCTGCACTGTGTCATGCAATATGCTTTGTGCTCGGCACTGTATGGCTGAGCTGCTTTTGTGCCATTAAAATATATCGCGATCATAATATGCTTGCACAGGGTACTTTGTAGGTATATACTTAGCTGAAACACGAAGTTCTTAAAGGCAAGATGGGCAACACAGGATCATTAAGGACATGCATTGGTGGAGTAATACCTTCAGCAGGGACTATTCACTTGCAGGGTACGTCCGTGCAGGACGGTGCATGTTCAGCTCTGGCGGCAGCACTAAACAGCAGGCCTGCTACATGTTGGCAGGTTTCACTAAGTCTGAAAGGAAAAAAAACTGTTGTTCACAAAATCAACGGACAACCTCGAACATGTATTTACGGACGCTAAGCCCGCGTATTGCAACATGAGCTTTTTAGGTAGCACCGCAATGAGGTAAAGTACTCGATAGACGTGATCTTGTGAATGCAACAATGTGTACCACGGCAGCACGCAGTCTCGCGTATATCCGTACATTGTAACGGTTCGCAAAAAAACCTGCCATTAGTGCGCGAGGCTGCGCTTCGATATATAAGCGCAAACCATGACTGATATAGTAGCACGGGTCGTTTATAATCACAAAAGCGGGAGCTGCAGCAGGTATAAGCACTGGGGTAAACTCCTGTCCTATGAAGAGAATGTAATGTTCTGATAAGGGAACTGCATGCTCCCATTACACTCGCAAGCGCATAGGCGCAACATTTGTTTACACACATTTTCGGCAATCGGTGATTTGCACTACAGACGCTAGTAAAATCAAAATATCTCACCCAGCAACACAGTCGCAGTGCGCTCCAACGATGCGACCGGTAGCCACGACGAACCATGCCGTTGTTACATACACGCCAGACTTCATGGACGGTGCGCACGCCGCTCTCACCAGACCTAGTTCGTCATCAGATGTTTGGTGGTTCAACTTCAAGTGTTTGACGTATCCTTCTTCCTTGAAGGACCAGCCGCGATGAGCCTGGCGAACGGTCGAAGTAGCGGAGTGTAGGTACCGCCACACGTCGTCGTTGCTCAGGCTGCAACGCGAAAAATCCTCGCTCCATCCCGTTTCCACAAACGCAAACGGGATGTTTTCTTCTTCTATCATGTTGTTTCCGTAAGCAGCGCACGTTTTCGGCAAAGAAACAACACTAAATCAATAAAACAAGCGCACGCGAGCCGCCGAACGCTGCCTAGCACATGTTAGTTCACGCATGCCTTTCCAACCAAAAGCGCGAGCGCTGCTTCCCTGTTTAGACGGCAGGTGGCGCTCGCTTTTCCGCGAATGGCAGATTCTTAATGTTGCAGGCCAGACATACCCTCTCCTTATAGGTCCCCGTCTGAGAAGATTGATGAGCAGGAAGACAATTGTGTGACTGCAAGCAGTACCGCACATCAGGAGGATGAAATGCTGACAGAACCCTGCAGTGAACCCTCCTCTCTGCCTTTAATTTTGCCTGCACCTGAATCTTCTTTCTGCTTGCCTAAAACATATCAGATGCCCCGCCGCGGTGGTCTAGTGGCTAAGGTACTCGGCTGCTGACCCGCAGGGCGCGGGTTCAAATCCCGGCTGCGGCGGCTGCATTTCCGATGGAGGCGGAAATGTTGTAGGCCCGTGTGCTCAGATTTGGGTGCACGTTAAAGAACCCCAGGTGGTCTAAATTTCCGGAGCCCTCCACTACGGCGTCTCTCATAATCATATAGTGGTTTTGGGACGTTAAACCCCACATATCAATCAATCAAACATATCAGATGCCCAAACATGGCAAAACTGTCCAGTGCCAGACAAGTCCATCAAAGGCAACCAGACCGCGTGAAATGCAGACTAGGCTTTCACTGTCCCGAATGACCAATCTCCTGAGGAAAGTGCAAAACCTTACCCGGAAGTGTCAAAGGCTTCAGAAAAAGCAGCATCACCTACAGGAAGAGCTGTCTACTCTGAGGCAGGAGGCAAAAAAGGCGTCCTTGTTGATGAAGAAAACAAACGTCGAAATCCTCCAGGTGTGAACTTATCTCTTTTTGAACATTATAAAAAATCTCATTACCTGCTTATATCATACTTGCAGCAAAAGGTGGAGGAGAGCAACGAAAAAGCTCTGTTCCTTCAAGAGCAGCTTGCTTTTCTGGGCAAAAAGAAAGGGCTATGGCGTGAGGAGACAGTGCGCAAATGCGTTCTTTTGCACGCTAAATCACCAGCCAGGTACCGCCTTCTTCGGGAGATTGGTGTCTTGACCTTGCCGAGTCGCTGTACCCTCAAGCGATACATTGGCGCATGCACTGGAGAGGTGGTGTCCTCTCTCATCAAGCAGCGCCTTCATGCAGAAGTGAAACTGCACTCTAAGGAGGTACTTTATTTACTCTTCGCCTTTACTTTTTTGCCAGGAGTAAAATTACTGGAGCTATGTTCTTTGCGATTATTGCAGGCACGCTGTGGGTCCCTGGTGATGGACGAAATGTCACTAAAGCAATCTGCACTGTACCATAAACAGTCCGATGCTCTCCATGGATTTGTCGACCTAGGAGGTGCCGAGGTAGACTATGGCCTGGAGGAGCAACTGGCAACTCACCTACTCTGCTTCGGCTTTGTAGGACTGTCTACCCACTACAGGTATGTGAAATATTTGGCTACTCTCCGTTCATGTCATGTGAACCTGTGCAGATAATTTTTTTCCAATCCTTCAAATGATTACCGTCTCCTTTACCTAATGCCTAGTGCTTTTACAATTACAGGCTGCCTGTAGGATATTATTTTACAAAAGGATTGACAGGGGAGCAACTCGAGCAACTTTCGTTGAAAGTAATGCAATCAGTTGAAGATGCTGGGTTTGAAGTGGTTAGGTTGGTTGCTGACAAACACAGCACTAGCTGCAAGTTTTTTGCCAGCTTGTCTGGTGGCCAAATATGCCCTGTTGTCACGTGAGTAATTGCTCAGTCACATTTTTGCTAAAGGTTACACCTCCTTTAATTGTGCATAAATTTATGAGCTATTAGAGTGTTGAAGCTAATGTGTCCTGTCAACATTTTCACAGACTCCTAACAGTATTCATTGATCCTTTACAGGCACCCTCTCAATCCGGACAGGCAACTGTTCCTGTCGTTTGACTATTGTCCTATCATAAAAAATGTCAGGAATCAGTTCCTCGACACTAAAAGGATTTTCAGGAATGCTGGAGTGCTCATCGTTCCAGACTACCTGAGGTACAATTTGGTAGCTTTTTCATGCCTTACAAATTGACAGTTTAACATTTCATTTTGTCACAGGAACTTGCACGACATACAAGAAAAGCAGGCGGGTGCTTTCAAGCTTGTGAGGTGCTTGACTAAAAAGCACCTTTGGCCGAGCAATTTTCAGAAGATGTCTGTTGCCAGGGCTGTTGCGATCTTTTCTCCTCAGGTAAAGAGTGCATAAATGTTTATTTTAGAAGAAACTCAGAGAAAAATATGATTTTACCCCAAGCATGTGGTGATGGTTATCCCACTCATAATCACCTGTATTATAATTTTATTCTAGGTAACATCTGTGCTCAGGTTTTTACTAAAACATGCACAGCAGCTCGGTTTCCATGGGTTCGACGACTTTCTGCCAACCATTGAGTTCATGGAACTTATTTATAAATGGTTTACTCTCCACAACATTAAGAGCACCTCACTGTTCTGGATGAGTAGAGACGCTCTGAGAATGCCCTTCTATGGTCCAGATGACGAAAGGTATTCATGAACTACTTCCAATTGTCATTTATCTTCCATTTGTGTGAAAACATGAATGGTTCCATTTTCTTTATATGCACAGTTTTGTATTAGGTATTCTTTGCTATTGAAATGTAAGCTTGAAACCTTTGTAGTTTGTCCGTAGGCCAAGTGCCACTTTCTAACTGATCTCATTGCTCATACTTTTATCATGCAGGCTCCTCTGGCTTGAAAATGAGTGCCTCATCTATTTTGACTTATGGAAAGAGAGTACAGCACACAAGCTAGAGTTTTTGTCAGAAGAAACTTATGAGGCCCTGAGAGTGACAACTATGTCAACTGTTCTCTGCACCAGGCATCTTCTTGGGCGCGGATTTCATTTTGTCCTTACAGGAAAGTTTTCCAGTGATGATGTGGAATCCCTGTTTTCTACCATACGACAGCTAAATGGCTCCAATGACCAAACCGATGCCTACGCAGCACTGTCGTCACTACAGAAGATCTTAGTAACGGGCTGCATTCATTCATCTACAAGTGGCAATGTGGGAAGCGTTATAGGTTCTATTGGGGAGGCAACCAAACTCGCCCCTCAACCTGCAGCTGCTGCACCACCTGACTAGGACATTAAGAAGCTTCTGCTCCCTTATTTTACAGCATTGGAGCGCTTCCCAAGTGGGTTTGCAACATTTATTATTTACGAATACCTATCACTCACAAACATTTCAGTAATAAGATGCATGTTTTGAAGATACAGAGGAGTCGATCCAAAAGTTTTAGTGCTTGTGTGGAAAGGTGACGTGCAGCTACATCAAAATGAGAAGTTCTAAATCGCAGTCATGAGTTCCTTAACCAGGCCCGTAGCCAGGAATTTTTGGTGGGGGCGGGGCACTTGCTGAAAACCTTGGCTATTTGAGAAAAACACCTATTTTATTATTTATTTTTGGTAAAACACCTACTTCACCAAAATTTCGGGAGGGGGGGGGGGGCTGGTTGCTACTGTACGACACATTTACAAATTATTGCACTTTGCTTAGATGGTACCACAATTATAGATGCTACTACTTGATCACTTATTTTAATTGTATTGCCATTCTCTAAATTCTTTCTTTCATTCTCTCAGGTCCTCCTACTCAAAGCTTGCGTGCCAGCACACTGGCACTAATAGCTGGTTTTCTAGTGAGAGCTGTCCAGGATAACATCTGCTGCGAAGGCTGCCTTATGTAAATACAGGCACCCAAATCAAGCTCTACAACAACTGCTCTAATTGCAGGAATTGACAGGGGAGGACTCTCATACCCCTCATTGCCATTTGTTGGATTTGTAAGCGCCCTCGAGGGTGCAGCCTCTAAAGCAGCTGCGATCCTAGTGAAAGGGCAAAAACGCTTGCAGAAGTTTTCAAGCATAGTGCTCCCTTCACTTCTAAAAAATTCCTTATTTGCATGCACTATGAATGATAGTGTGTCACACAGAGCAGCTCTCTTGAATTTAATTTTGCGAAAATTCATGAGGCCTTTCTTGGCAAACTATGCCAATAATTTAACCGACGCACATTCAAAGAGAAAGCTCCTCAACAGGAAGCCTTTGTCGCGAAAAGTTTTGAAAGTTTAAAGTTCTTTTTCCTTGTAACAGCCACATAGAATTGCTGTATGCTCATGCACATCTTGGCTGCTGACCTTCTTTTGAATACAGATAGGAGTGCGAGTTTGTTTTTCCAGTGTCATTTTAGCCTTATGAAAGAAGACATGCCTGAACAAGACATCAAGAATCTGCGGTCCACACTTCCTAGTCTTCTGACTTGGGTATCATTCTTTATATTGGGTTCATCTTTTTTCTCTTTTTTTTGTCTTGCCACGTAATCTTAACTTTTTCGGTTTTCTTTAACCCCCAAGTTTCTGCACTATATATTTGTACTGGTACAATACAGTGGCTCTACACTTTGTTTTTGGGATGGCAGCATGTTGCTAGTCATAATTTTTTAAGGTTTCAGAATTGATGGATTTGATCACATGAATGCAATATTGTGGGGCAAGCTTTTCTAAAGCCAGCTTGCTTCCTTCATTGATTAAAGTGCAGCGCTTTCCTTATCCTGTTTTAAAGAACCTTCGTGAATATATTGCTGAGAGTTTAGTAGAATAATATGGGCACTTTTCCAGCTAAGGCATACATTCGAGATCTTGAGACATTCTGCAATATTTAGTGGAGAGCAGAGTGGATCAGAGAATAAACAGGGGTAGCTCACATCTATCTTTAATAGAAAAAAGTAGAGCTGCGCAGGCAACGTAGTGCACAGGACCTATAACCAACGTGCAGCGAGAGCAACGGAGTGGATATCGAGGGATGGCTAACGCAGCCGAGTTAAACAGTTAGGTTGCTTGATGAAATTGAAGAGGTTCACTGGGATAAAATGGAATCGGCGTGTGCAAGACGGGGGCAAGAGATCATTGCGAGAGGTCTTTACCCTGCAGTGGACACATAATAGTCGGGTCATGATAATGTCGTTTTTGTCGCACGCTTCCATCGTTAGACGTTCGCTAGACCCAAAGCACCCAGACGATAGCATAACTGCGCCCCTCTGTCGTCATCCGTGCACAGTATGACAACGATATGCTTGAAGGGCGACGTTCAGGTCATAAAAATTTACACGGGTTATCGCATGCGTCGTTCGTACCGTATGTCGTCTTCATTTACGTCGTAGACACGTCGGTTTCAAGTTTCAACTTGTTACATGCAAGATCGCACCGGCTCGTCCACGAACGAATTATGTTTGCGGCTGCTAGACAGCTGTTAGGTGGGGCGCCGCTGCTTAAAACAAAGCGAGGAAATAAGGCTTACGTTCTCTGGGTTATGTGTCGCATATTGCTTTCATTTGCCTGCACTTAGATGGGGACGCAAAAGCGCTCGCGCAAAGATTGAGGTCCGGTAACGAGCATCCCGAAACCATCCACCACGGTGCTTCTCACAACCAGAATGTTGCTTCGAGACGTTAAATCAGTGGATTGCTCGATCCACGCGTTAGAAACTAGAACAATGAGAGGAACGCGCACATACGAGTGCACCACAACGGTCGTGCGTCGTCTGCTATGGGGGTAAGTGGTGGCGGAATTTGGCGGTACCTCCGGTCCCTACACGCCAATTTTTAGCTCCATACGCCTCCGTAGGGATGGCGCCGGTGAGCAGGTCGTAAGTTTATAGAGGAGGTCGTGGCTCATGCACTCGCGAAATGCACCGCGGATAGCACCAATCTCTTACGGAGAAGCCACAACTACAGGAGAAAATTTTGAGCTAAGAAATGCACCGCGGATAGCAGCAACTTACGGAGAAGCCACAACTACAAAAGAAACCTTTTCAGCTAAATTTAGCGGCAGTCTGGCAATAACCACCCCAAAGTCTGGCAACAGACTTATGCAACGCCAAAAGGAACCTTGCCCACAGTAGGAACAGGCATGCAAAAAAAAAATCCCCGAATTAACAGATGCAAGCATACGCGCCCAAGGCGTGATCCACGCTTACAGCTAACAAACGCCGTATTCACCCAACAATTATTTAACCAAAATATTGGACCAGCAGGGCTCCCTGCCAACACTACTGCCGACAGAGGCGGGCGCCATCAGAACTCTGCTTAAATCTGCCGCCGAATTCCCACTGCGCACGCACGCGCCATGTGCTTCACACACCGAGGCGTGCTTCAATCGAAAGAAAAAGCACGCCCACACTTAACTTTCCACAAAATGCCTTCCTCCTGATGAAATGACACACACAAACAGGTTCGATACGTTAAAAACCCTCACTTATCGCCCACATGTAACACAAAACGTAGCATGACGTCGTTATCACGCTCTCGGTGTTGACAAAGCGACAGCAGGAATGTGGTACGTACCTGGCAATTGTTCCAAAATGTGACGCCACAAGTCCTCGCTTGAGTAGAGTTCATCTTCGTAATCAGCAGCACCGGCAGAACACAAAACACGAACGCAGAGCGCAAGCACACCTCGAAAAACGACAAAATTTGACGCAGAACCGACCAGCTGCGAGGAGCCCGACCAACGAGCAAGAGCATGCCCAAACACGTATTATGGTTACAGCCCCGCCGATACTCAGCGCACTAAAAAGCTTTGGTGATACATTTGAATATAAAAACTATACTTAAATATACATAACATGAATATGCAAAGCGCAAAATATTTTTATTTCTACTAACAAAAAATATAAACGTTAAACTTGAGCGCGCGAAATTTGAAACGTTTGCAGGTACAATGCAAGTTTAAACAAATGAACAGCCAACGTTACTAGAACCAGGTCAGTTTCGCAGCTCCCCGCGCGCACCGGCTTGAGCGGCTGACGCGTGAACTAATGGCGCTACTGTTCCGTCTTGCTTCACATACCGCGCCGCGCGTCGCGACGCGCGTGTTGCCGCTTAGACACGACAACACGTTTTCGGCGCTCGGGTACTTCTTCGCGCCATTATTTAGTGATCTATCATTCCTTACGAAAGAGTTCCAACATGTGACAAGAGCGCCAATTAAGAATGCCTTATTGTTGTGCCCCGGG